AACCCCTAAACCCTAAACCTATTATAGAGGGCTCCATTATGGGGGGATAATATACCCTAACAGCAACCCAGTTTAGGGTTGAGGGAAGGCCTGGATGGTCAACTAAGGCTACTTCCATATATGTATAACCCTATATAACTCACCCCCAACCTTAACCCCTAAACCTTAGTATCCCTAAACCCTAAAGCCTAATAATTATCCCTAAACCCAAAACCCTGATACCCCGAATATCCCTAAACCCTACTGTAATATCCCTACTCCCTAGACCCTAATACCCCTAATGCTCCTAAACCCCAATATCCTTAAACCCTCGACCGTAAACGCTACTACCTCTAAACTCTAATATCCCTAAACCCCCATATCCCCAGACCCTAAACCCTAAACCCCCCAAAGCCCCCTAAAAAATGCGGGGCCTCACGGTCCGTCGAGTCTCTCGGCACGGGAAACAGCCGTCCGCACTAAGACGGAGGCTTTGAGCCGAGGCTGACCATTTAGGATTTTGGGTTTTAGGGGTTATATAGGGGTTATATAGGGATAATGAAAAAGAAAATGGAAACTACTATTATGGGTTTAGGATGTTGGGTTTTAGGGGTTTAGGGTTTTAGGGATTTAGGGATTTAGGGTATTGGTGTTTCTTTTTTAGGGTTTAGTGTTCTGGGGTTTTGGGTTTGGGGGGGTTTAGGATTTAGGTTATTGGGTTTTAGGATTAAGTAGGACCCTGATTTCGGTCTAGTATAATATGGGGACGTGTTACGGGATGGGGGCAATATGCGAACTCCAGGTGAAGTATGAGGAGCTCTGTACCCTGTTGAAAAAGGCTACAGGGGCTTTCCCACAATTAGGAGTACCTGTAGTTACTATAATGGAGAATCAAATGGAAAAGAAAATGGAAAATGAAATGGAAACTGAGGTTATATAGGGGTATATAGGGATTAGGGTTTCCCAAAATTAGGGGTACCGCTTTGGGGGTCCCAATAATAAGGACTATAGTAGATTGGGGTCTATATTGGGGTCCCCCTATATTGGGAAACTACCACAGCTACTTCCACAAAGGCCTGCCGGACATGCCTTTGTCTTGCTGTGGCCTTGCTGGGTCCAATGCTGGTGCAGCCGAAGCCCATCTGTTGAGGTGTCATGAGTCTTGAAAGTCGCCATCTCGTACAGAGATTGCAGTAGATGTACAGAGCCCTGTGAATAAGAATGCTGATGAACATCCATCTGCTGAACGAGTGGCAACGACCAGAGACAGATTTTCACTAGCGGCACGGCAAGAGCAGGTCCCTTTGTGGGAGCAGTCTCCCGGCTGAACGAGAAAAAGTTGTAGAGCTTCCGCGAGATGAAAGAGGCAAGAAGGAATCCATGCTTCAGTGATCTTCGACGCACCCGCCATATAACCCCATATGAGTAGTGTTTTTTTGGTGGTGGAACCTAGTAAGATTATATTCCTCATATGAAATACTATACCCAGAAGGAGAATAGAATCTTACTCTATATTGGGTACCATCGTATCCCCAAATAAAATACTACTCATATCACCCTAAGTAATAAGCCTGCATAAGCCCAATGAACCCCTTTATGAGCTGCTGTCGATATTAGCCCTACCAAGGGACCAGTAAGGGTGGGCACAGGGGCCTCTTTGGTAGTTTAGCATAGTCCCGTATACATTCCCTAATAAGGGCCATGTCCATTAACTACACAAGGAAATTCTGACTGTAGTTCATATGGGTGGTCGTCAAAATTATGGTCCCTTTTTGGATCCCTATCATTATACGGCACCTAATACTTAGGGTACCCAAAAAGGGACCACAATTTTGACAACCACCC